CACTAGCACCCGGGGCGAGGCTCCATCTATTGGTGGGGAGCATCACCTGCTGGAAAACGGGTCCAGCATCCCTTACACAGAACGGATCAGGAAAATGTCAGGAAATACAACTGAGAAAGACGCCTGCCAGCATTGATTACTCTGTCCTCCAGAGGATCTGTGCAGGTTGTTGGGAAACGGAAAAGAACCTCTTCGCCCTGTACCAGGCGCCAGATACCTGCTGCTGAGAGCCTAGTTCCTCCCTCTCCCAGAAAACTTTTACCACCCCATCCCCCACTATCAATCCCTCTGTTCCACTCGATGTCGGCTGTGCAATAACCCATGCTGTATGCCTCGTGGAAAGTCTGAGGGCTCCCGGGTCGCACTCAGACCCAGGCCGAGGGGGAAAATAAACCCCATGTAAAGATTCAGGGCCTGGACGAGAGTTGACTAAAGTCAACTGTCAGATACCCATCAGTCAAAGTCAAAGTGTACCCAGCCCAGGCCGCCGGTCAGTCGCACACACTTGTTTGTATGCAGGTACCCAGACAGCATCAGGACCAAGGGGAAATCTGCAACTGTACACAATCCAGGCCCTCGGCTGTGAGTCAATCTGTACGACTGTGGGAAGGGGACCCGAGGCCAGACAGCCTCGTCAAACACTACAAAAGAGCTGGTCTCGAGGTGGTCAACATTCAGTCTTGCTATACTGCTTGGACGCTGGCTCGACTGTGACTGGATGCTGGCATTGGCGCTGGCATGACGCTGACAAGACGCTGGCGAGACGCTGGCTGTGCGCAGGCACTGTGGACGATGATGCGGGGTTGAGGCAGCATGCTGGCGCTTTCTGTTCTGTGAGCCAGGCATTGCTGATGTGGCGCTGCCACATGTCTACATTGCTGATGTGGCGCTGCCACCTGTCCACCCTGCTGATGTGGCGCATGCCACTTGTCTGCATTGCTGATGAGGTGCATGCCACTGGTCTACATTGCTGATGTAGCGCTGCCACCAGCCTACATTGTGTTGCTGATGTGGCACTGCCACTTGTCTTCATTGATGATGTGGCGCATGCCACCTGTCTCTACATCTGACGTGGCATTGGCCACGCTGTCTACATGAGGTGACTGGTTGCAACAAGGAGGGAGATCAGGATCTGTGGTTGATTGGAATCGGGTACTCCCCTGAGGTTGACGTCGTCTGTGACGGGGCTGAGGCAGAGCAGCGAGGTCAGGGAAGAGAGAGGGAGGGAGTGAGAGCACACACACTCACTCACTCAACTCGACACGGACTCAACACGACTCGATGGACACGGACACAAAGTGGCAAAGTGGCAAAGTCGCAGAGTCGCAATCTTGGTTCCGTACACAATGTCGCAGCAAGTCACACTGAAGCACAAGCAACGAGGCCGAAAACTGTGTCCCCAAACTCAGCTTGAGTCCGGTCTTAAGTACCGGACTCGAGTTGAGTCCA